CAATTTTCTTCAACAACCTAGCCGTCCCCGGCAACGGCGCCAAAAACTTGACTCACTCCTACTGTCACTCTAGAAAATGGCCAAGTGAAACCACTTCCTAAAGCGTAGTATAGCGGGTTTGGGTTTTAATGTCAACCCGGGTCCTAGATGTGATGACTACTCAGTGAATTCTTCTTATCTAGCGGTGAAACTTTAGTGCAGGTTCAAACAAGCAAACAAGTAAAGCAAGCAATTAAACGGTTGTTATCAAGTCGAGAGAGGTCACCCGGATATGGTTCCCCCTAGACTGCAGTTAAGCCGGATTGCAATTTACCAAGTTCAAATTCTATGATAGTTATACTGCGCAAGGTTCTTAAACAGTCTGAAGCCTCGACCAAAGGTCTCCAAACCCTCTCAATCTGAGTCTCCAGCGGGCGACTAACCTCCACCGGAGTAAACAGATTGAGGCCCTAACGAACAAAACCTCCACTACCGAAGTAAATTCGGTACAGAATAGTGAATTGGCTCCTCGACTAAAGTCGCTAATTCACTACCTTCAATTAAGGGTGCTCTATCAACCTAGGCAGATATTCTCTTTCTAGGTTAAAGCAGAAACAACAGGAATTTGATCAGGATTCATGCCATTCAATCATTCAAACCTCAATTGAATATAATCAAATCATAAAATTTGTACTTGGGTTCATACAATCATTACCTAACATACAAATCTAGGGTTCTCCATACCCAGATGAATGGGAGAACTACTCCATGGAGAAAGAAGCAAAAGCAGATTCAGATGCGGAAACCATACTGTGAAGGATGGATTTCTGCTCATGGTTGTCGATCGGCACTTCTCCAAGCTCAAGCCGGGCTCCAATGGTGATGAAGATCAAGCTAGGGCACTTGGAAACTCTTGTTCGTCGCTTTCTCTCTCTAGGAATCGCTCACTCTCTAAAACTCGGATCCCCTTCTCTTTTGGCTGAAATCTGCCTAAAAGGGCATCACTGGGCAAAACACGGTCGAGGGCACGGCCGTGCTTTGCTCCAGCCCGCCCGTGCCCTTGTCACGTGTTAAAAACACGACCAGATTTTGGGGAAAACACGGTCGTGCCTAATGTTGGACACGACCGTGTTTTGGGTCATCCCCGCCCGTGTTTTGGCCAGCGCAGGACAAACTTGGATTAAGCCTCGGCAGTAAAAACACGGTCCAGGAACACGGCCGTGCTTTGATTTAGGCGTGCCCGTGCTTTGGCTCCAGCTCGACCGAATGACTTCCGAATGCCCCGAAACTCGTGCTTAGCCTTTCCTTCGACGTTTGGGACCTGAAATATGACAAAGTAGCACAACCCAGCGTAAAATAGGCCAAAAATACACGACTATGCCCCACAAACGGATAAGAACTAGGGGTGCAAACATGTGCAATTTTATCGTTATCACTGGACTCTGTTTCTTTTGCATTTCTAAAATAGTAAATCAAGAGTTGCATCAAATACAATAACTACAACTACATCTAACCATCAACTGGTTGGGTTTAAACTATCATAAAATTGGTGTTCTTGTGAGAAGAATTGGTCCCAACCATGGACACTAGGATCATGATAAATAGGCCAAATCCCATTAATCGGAGGTAATGGCACTTGAACAGGTCGAAAGTCAAGACGCACCCAATGACATCCCGTAAAATGTAGTGGTACGATCCCACGTGGTCTTGTTACTCCTGGTGGGGCAATCACAGGTAGCACAGTATAACGACTTCCTTGACTATAGACAGCAATTACCCATGAATGCAATGTGGCAAAGACGAAAAGCTCTACATTATCCATCCAGTGGGTAACGCCACAACCACGATCTTGAGTCCACCTTCAACGCCGAAGCCCATTATCTATTCCGTCGGAAATTCATACTTGTTGGTCTTGTATGTTGCATCTATCACAATGACATGGTGCCAAGCTCGCAACATCAATATTGACTCAGGGTGGGCTAGGAACAAGTGTGTAAGCACGTTACGGTCATCCACATACTGCACATAGTAACCCTTCTCCCGAGCATCTTGAAAAGTGTATTGTAAGATCGTCCTCTGACCAAGCTCTTCTTTTCTTATCTTATACAATGCGTTAGAAATCTGTCTTTTGTTCACCTTTCCATGCTCCTCTTTTTTCTCGTTCACTGCCTTGTGGATATTCCTTGGGGTGACACCGGCTAATCTCAGTTGTCTGATGTATTGCTTATCATCTTCGGTCAAAACATTCCTCTTACTTGATCCATTCGGAAATAGCTCCAGCGGATGATTGTGAAAACCCAAATTAGCACCAGGATTCTTTGTATTAGCCACTGCTAGTATCAACCAATATCCGTCATCTGACCGCTCAATCTTGATCTGAAATTCACACCCCAACTTTCCAGAAGAAGTAAGAGGCCTCCTTTCCTTAGCGGGATTAGAATCAGGAGCCTTCGATTTTTTCTTCCTACCATGAGTGCACTTCAAGTATCGTCGCCTACTATCTTCACTTGGATTTTTTTTATTTGATGCCTTCACCAAATAAAACCCAAAACCCTTGGCAATCTCAGTAGCTGCTGCATATGCAATCAAATCCGTATCGTATCTTACTCCATTGACGAATTCTGAGGTGTAATCTTTGTCATCCCCTCCGTAATCATCAATATCCTACAATGTTAGATCTCATGATATAAGTAGGACTCTACAATAATAGAAAATCTAACGACTACATTTAATTTAACAATTATCACAAATAATTTAGCATTCTCTATATTTTCCTAAGCAAAATCCAACATTTAACATGACAAAATTTAGCATTCTCTATTATTTACATACTATACATCTAATGTAAGAATCATATTAATCATATTCTAGATTTTTTTATTGCGTATTATACATCTAATCTTAATTTTGTATAAAAAACATTCAATTTCACAAATAATTAGGCTCATAAATTTTAAAAATAATATAAACTAAAATTCAACAAACAATCTTATAGACCAAACTGTAAATCATAACAAAAAAATAGAAATATTTGATATAAACTTTAGGGTATGCCTACTATGACATGCATGTCACGGTGACATGCACTTTTCGGTCGACCTATTGCTGAAGGCGGTCGACCGAATCGACTAATTTGGGCAGCACGAGAAAGCATTGCGGTCGACCTCAACGACCACCTGGTCGACCGCACTTAGTTTAAGTTGATATTTTTGGTCGACCAGAATAAAACCTGGGTCGGCCATTTCGTTGGCGTCAGAAACAACATGGTCGACCACCTAAGGTATATAGGTCGACCACTTGATTGCAGTCATTAACAAAATGGTCGACCGGATGATGAAAGAGGTCGACCAGATATTTGGCGCGGTCGACCTTTTCAAGCACAACATAGTCATACAATCAAAGCCAAAGTCGACATTCAGGTTGAATAACCAAAAAAACAGGAACGGTCGACCTTGAAACCCATTAGGTTGACCAATTGGGTTACCTCGCAAGTACAGAAATCCAAGTGTTGTGGCCTAAATTCAAATACGCAGAATTGTCTCGTCAGGTCGACCTGATTGACGTCACGGTCGACCGAATGGAATTCTGCACCCAACAAAATATCAAATTAGCCGGTAGAAATCACGCATTAGAAAAGAAGACGACGAATGGTACATTAGGTCGACCTCACCTTAGACCTGGTCGACCACTTCCAACGCGTACAACAGCAACCGCGAACGATCTTCTTCACAAAGGCTCTTAATCGGGAAAAAAACCTAATTCAGACTTGGAGGCGTTGAAGGGGACTAATATTCGTATTTATAGAGATTTGGGACGTCAATGGGTCGACCCAATTCGTTTCCTTGTCCAATTGTGGAACCTTTCTGGTGTTGTAATCCATATCCAATACGGATACGGTGTGAAGGCGGTCGACCTCTTCCTAATGGGGTCGACCTGTTAGGTGCACAAGGGTCGGCCTATGAGATATTTGGGTCGACCTTTCATTCTGTTAGACCACCAAAGCGGTCGACCGTATTATGTAAGAGGTCGACCGCGTCTTGGAATCCCACAAACATGAATTAGTCGATTCGGTCGACCGCCTTCAGCAATAGGTCGACCGAAAAGTCCATGTCACGGTGACATGCATGTCACCGTAGCAAAATCCTAAACTTTAAAAAACCCAAACTCCACCAACAGAAGCCAATTTTCGGTTCCACCATGGCTAAACCGAAGCCAATTTTCGGTTTCACCATGGCTTAACCGAAGGAAGGGTCGGTTCTACCGTGGATCAACCGAAACCAAATTCCGTTTCAACCATGGCCCAAACGAAGCATATTTTCAGTTCGTCCATGGCTCAACCGAATGTGATTTTTGGTTGGTCCATGGTGCAACTGAATCCGATTTTCGGTTGAACCATGGACCAACCGAAAATTACCTTCGGTTGAGAATTTTTGGGTTTTTTTTTTATAAAACAAGATTTTTACCTCGTCGGAGTCGCTACTCATTGTTCGGACGTATGCTCGACGATTTCGGCTTCCAAATGTCGATGATGAATTCGAGAGTGTGGGAGAATGAGTGTTTTTTGCTTTCTAAGCGAAGGTGGTGTTTGTTTGCTAAAGGAAAGATAAAGATGTTAAAAAATTAAAAGTGTAACTTTGTTGTTTTTTAGGACGATCATTAGTAATTGTTAGGAGTTAGGACAAACTTTATCAACTCCCTAAAAAATCCTCAACCAAAGTCCTCGAGCTAAAATTTGAGTGTAACTCCTTACCAATTTAAACAAAAAAAATGGCGCGTCATGTTGGGCTTGACGGGCTGGAAATAAGCTTTCAAAAGCTTAAAAAGGCCAAGTTCGGCCCATTAAATATCAGCATCCCCCGGTCCATTGGTGAAGCCCGGTGGATTAGAATATCCAATCCTAGTAGGGTACGGACTCCTTCTGGTAGAAAGTACTAGAACCATAAAATTTCCGAATCTGAACCGGAAGCTGAATCGCCATTAGTTCTTCTCTATAAAGTATAAATACGGTACCTCCAATCGTCCACCATTCCCTCAACGAAACCCACTACTCCAAAACCCTAACAAAATCCACTCAGCAGCAGCCATGGCGATCCTCTCCGACATCGAAGAAACCCAGTCCAACCAAACCCAGAATTCTCCACCTCCAACCAATCCCCCGCCGGCGGCGGCGAAGGAGAAGAAGGAGGACAACAACACCACTTCTCTGCTTCCAAATTCCGGCAATGGGCTCGACCTGGAGAGCTATTCGTGGGGACAGAGCCTCGAGGAGGTGACGATCACCGTTCCAGTCCCTGCCGGAACCAAATCTAGGCAGATTGTGTGCGAGATCAAGAAGAAGTCTCTGAAGCTAGGGCTCAAGGGCGAGCCGGCGATGATCATCGACGGCGAGCTGTTCGGACCGGTGAAAGTGAGCGATTCTTTCTGGCAATTGGAGGATCAGAAGACCGTCTCTGTTCTGCTGACGAAATTCGAGGAGAAGAACAAGAGCTGGTGGAAGTCGCTGGTGAAGGGAGGGCCGGAGATTGATACCCAGAAGGTGCAGCCGGAGAACAGCAAGCTGAGTGATTTGGATCCGGAGCTTAGGTCGACGGTGGAGAAGATGATGTTCGACCAGAGGCAGAAGCAGATGGGTTTACCCACCAGCGACCAGATTCAGCAGCAGGACCTCTTGAAGAACTTTGATTTCTCCAAGATGAAGCAGGTCGACAAGTTCAGCAATATGCCTTGAGAGATAGATAGCCATTGTTATTTGTTGCGCAGTTACTACCTTAGTTTTCCCCTTTTGATGTTTTCAACTATTCTGTGTTTTTGTCTTTAACTTTCAGTTGAATTTAACAAAAAAGATGCAAACTTTATTAGATTGTGACAAGTTCAATCGCAGTATGATCAAAGCAAGATAATCGATCTCAAGCAACTAGGATCTTCATCACATATTCACATATCAGATGCCACAAAAGATTGATAAATTATATTAAGAAATCAGATTATAACAATGTGTTCAATTGGTCACATTTACAAGGGAGAAAGGGAAGTTCTTGGTAGGCGTAGCTTACCAAATACCAAACACAAGAGGCCAATTTATCTCAAAGATCAAACATGCTAAGCCCTTTCCATTCTATTAACCTTTTTACCTCTTAACTGTTTCTTTTCAGAAACTATTTAGTATATACAAAAGTCGTCTAGAGAAATGGGGAATGTAAATAGTTTTAAAAAAACATGTACAATTCTGAAGCATATCTCCCAACTTTTAAGAGTTTTGTTCTTCATTCAATCATACAAACCTTCTTGCTCCCATACATCCACTAGAAAATCTACCATTTCCTGAAACCGAAAAAACAGGAGGTATTGATTCTCATTTTTCACTGGAGAGATGCAGGAAACAACCTCAGGGGGGGGGGGGGGGGGGGGGGGGGGGGGGGGGGGGGGGTTCAAGGACTTACAGCGAGCGGGACAGGCCGGGGAAAAGGGTTCCTGCTTCCAAGCAAGCTTTCATAAGTTGCATTCCAACTGGATGTTAAATCAAAGCATTAAGAACAGACAATGGAATGTGACTTTGTGACAGTGGGGTTTCTATTTATTTGCTGTAAATACCAAAGGGTACTTGCTAGCTACAAATGGAAGGAAACACATCATCTTCTGTCACACAAATCAAACTGAAAGCATCAACTCGTTGGTACAATGATTTGAATGAAGATGTTAGAAGATGGTTGGAGGGTGAAGGAAAAATAATGCATCAGGTTGTCCCTATTTTGCAGAAGCATCAAAATCATATACAGTACAATGATTACACAACACATCATAGAGATGAAGATGTTGATGATCTATTCGCGAAATTTGAACAGCCATCGGTCCACCACCAACAAGACGAGAATGGCAGCAAGCATATTTACCAACCAATGAAGTTCTACACTTCTACTATAGTATGTGACTGAGTGCTTGCTAAGGAAAAATAAGTAACTGTCTACAGAGAGGATTCTGAGTTACCTCAATCGGGGTCCACATGTTTGACGAGTTTGATTGCTGGTAGATTCACCACTCCTAGTCCATTGAAGCCTGCCCTGCTGCCACAGAAGCAGACCTGCACTCATGCATTCAACAAGCTGTAAGAGGTCTGTAATAAAACAATTTTGACGAACACAGTAGAGTAATGGAAGTAAACTTGGAAGAGCAAAGTAAAAAAGGATTGCAGTTTATTACCATGATTCACAAAGTCTGTCGTACTGCCACTCATGGTACCACCACTGCTAGTGTTGGGGTTTGAAGCACTGATTGAGGATACGCTTCTTTGAGACTGAATAGCACTATTATCCAGCTCACATGTGCTGCTGCTCCAGAAATCTTCAAATACACTAGGCTTCTTCACTGCCCGGCCTTGTATCTTCAATCCTTTCGATGGCTCATCCACAGCAATTATCGGTGTGGGCTTCGCGCAGCATCCAAAACAACCACTGTTCTGTTCCAAACCAAGTTAGAAACCAAAACCACAAACAAAAACCCTGTTGGAAACAACTATACCACTTAAAGAGGATTGAAATTTATAGAATACAGAAAATTTCACATTCATTGAACTGGTTTCCTTTTGCTGCCAGACAAGCTTAGTGGAGTGGCAAATAGTCAAATACCATATAATTAGGAAAAGGAAATGAACAGATTGATGTTTGTCCAACTTCCATCTCTTAGACAAAAAAAGATTTGAAGACAAAATCAAAATTCCTAAACCAGATTAGCCTGAAATAAACGAACAGGAAAAGCATTCAATCTTCCCACCCAAAAATCAAGCAATCTCATTGACATACATACACTCTAATGGAAAGTTTATCTCCCCCAGACATGACTTGATGGCATAACACTATGGAGCCAACAATTCTCTATGGAGCCAACAATTCTCTACCTGTTCTCTTATGTACTGGTTGTGTTAGGAATTCCATCTCTATCAGGTGATGAAAATTTCCAGTCCTACCATTATTATATATGCCTCACAACCACTACTGCTTTAACTAATCCACCTATAAAAGCTATAAACACTTCAAGGACCAAGCAAATGACAAGATCATTAAACAATTAGCAATATACAATCTTCATTAACTAGGGGAGAATGGGAAAAAAATTGAGAAAAAAAAAATATTCTCTCTACCAAATTGAAATCAGCAATTTTAGCCCTTTCTCCCCAACAATTGTCTCCCCTAATCCAACTTCCCCAAACAGGAAAAACAACAATTCTATTCTATCCCAACTCGTGCTCCCAACACACAAACAGGGACCCAAATAAATTTCTAACCGGGATTCCAGATATCCAAGACCAAACCCAGAAAACTATGTAGACATACACAAGCAAAAGAAACTCAGAAACAAGAAAAGATCAAAGGAAGGTGAACGAAACCACTTACCCCATACAAGCGAGTAAGTGATCGATCCAAGAACAAACAGAGGCGTTACTAAGTGTCACCATTTGATCAAGCAATCAACAACACGGAACAACCCAATCATCGAATTGGAACCGAGTGCAAATTTGGGGGAGGAAAAATCTCTGAAAAGGAATCAACTTTATGCTGAAATTGGAAATGGGTAGCGTTGATTTGGTGTTCTGTTCTCCACCATGACAACCTGCTAGTGGGTTCTTTGTGTCTGCGACTTGTGGGGATGCGCTGAGAGTGTGTGTGGGAATGGAATGTTGGTGGTGGCTGCTGGGTAGAGAAGAAGGCAGTGGTTTTTTGGGCGAGTGATTAAAGTGACAGAAAAATAGTGAGGAAGAAGAAGAGAGAAAGGAGAGGAATGGAGGATGTTAAGTAATTGTTTACTGAAGTGTCTGTAATGTGGGGATGCGCTTCATGCAAGGTTGTCAAACCGGTTTATGCCAGTGTGCCAGTTTAGCAAGTGGAATGGTTTAACCGGTGGTACATACCGGTTTGTGTCGGTTCATGCCGGTTAATACTATAAATAATTTATAAATTCTCATATTTAAACACAACATTTAACGTCAATACCTAAATATTTGTACTTAAATCTAACAAATAACATCAACATTTAACTTTTTAACACATAAAATAAATAATAAATTACTTTTTATCAATTAAATCCACTAAGATAAGATCATTTTATTTGGAGATTCATATATCGATCATGCCGGTTATACCGGTGGTGTTATGCCGGTTTTATGACCGATACAGGTTAAACCAGGTTGAACCAGTGACACGCCGGCTGGCGTGACAACCATGGCTTCATGGGATTGGATTATTTGCCTTTGTCAACCTATCCTACGCTCTTCACGCGCTCCTATTCCCGCGTGCCAATGCCTTGCTAATGTTTAGGCAATGGTTGGGTTGTATGGTTTTAGCCTTTTAGGTCAAAATTTCACTATGATCTATAGAATGATCATATTTATAGATGGGTACCACTAATTAGTGGATGTTAGTAGATGATGATTTGTTTAAGCGGTCATGATGGTTCGTGCAGGAAGACCTCGTAGTTTATTATTGTTTTGAATCACATTTCAGAATGACAGTTACGGACGATTTGAAAGATTACATGTACCTTATGAAATTTGGAGATGAATGAGCTTGATGTTTGTGCATCTCAAGTAGGAATGTTAGTAGGTAGGATCATGTCAAGTTTAAGGATAAGGTACATGTAAACTTATCCAATCGGATACAGCACTCTCAATATTATCTGATGTTAGCTTCTCCTTGTTTAATTGTAATCAATATGTCAAATAAAGTCCACGTATAACAGTGAGTACATAGAGTTACCAAAGGTGTGTTCTGATTAGGTCCTAGTGGATATAGAAGTTCTCTATAATGATTGAGTGGGGTGTACACATAATACATGCTAATACGGGCAAACTTTTATACACGTATCAAACAATGATCAAATTAGAATTTAGAGTGATCGAAGATTGCAAACAAGCAAAATCGCACCAATTTCTCGTTATTGTCAGTGATCTACATAACAGAGGTAATAACCCACCATCTTGCCACTTTCACTTTCTGGACTCTACATCGCTCCACCTCTCCCAACAAAAAAGATCCATCCATGACCATAAGAGCTGTGACAAATCAAGTTGCTTAACGTGGATGATGATATTTCTTTACAATGAAAAAGGGAAGACATGTTCCTATAATATAGTTTCAAGTACCTACTAGTTTAACTTTTTGTTTCTGTCCAAAAGAGAATATGCATACTTTGTTTCAACGTAATCCAAAAAGAATTGTACAACTCAACCAAAGTGATAAAGGGAGAGGAAAAGAATGGAGGCCATGGCCACGAGAATAAGGCAAAAGGTAACTAAAGCAAAGACATTAAATAGTTGTGAGGAAACAACATCAAAGGTGGTGTAGTGATTATCATTATCTCCTTTAGAGGAACTTTTTTTTTTTATCTCTATCTTTTAGTTTATTCTTTCATGAAAGATGATGATTCTGATGGTATAACGATCATATTGGTTGATTTTTATAACATGGAGAGATGATTAACATAAAGTTTTACATTATTCGTTTACATCCTCCCAAATTTAATTATAATGTAATCGGGTGTCAAAAATCGGTTGGTCTTACTAATTCCCCCCCCCCCCCCCCCCCATGCTACTCAAGGGCATTCGCGGGGGAAGTTCACCAAGATTCCAATATAGGATTTCGAGATTGAAAACTAGTTGTTTGATCAAACCCTCTTTCACTTTATCTTAACTATTTAGTTGTTGAAATATGTAAAAATGGTCCAATGAACTAAAAAACTGCTCAGACACATCATATACATTGTGCATCAATTCAACATTAATATTGAGAGCTACTAAATAAGATAACCGATTTACGACCTCTCAAACAAAGACTTTGATATACCAAGTCGAGAACCTGCTAATCTTTATAAGATAACTTGAGTTTGTTTGAAGTTCAAACAAATCTGAATCTCATATTCATTTCATGAACAAGCTAGCCATTTTGGAACCTCAATCATGCATGACAATAAATGTTGGCTGTGAAATGAGGGACCCTCCTTACCTTATCTCCTTTGCTGTTTTCAATCCTAATTCAACCAATTTCTCAACAATAATGCTTTTTGGAAGTTGGAGAATCATTGAACTTTCGCATTCCACACAGTTACAACTAACTAATTTCGGTTTTCAAATTTCAATTAGCCATGCCATGGGGTGGCCAAATCATCTTAAAGGATCCAACCAAACACCTTTCCATTGATTTCACTTGTGGGCCAATGAAGCCCGGCAATCAAAAACCGAAGTTAGGAGGAGTCGATTCTAAGGATGGTCCAAAATAGGAAGGGCCCATATCAACAAAACCTGCATCAGTCAAATGTCGGTAAGATCATGTGATCAACTAGGAAGGATTCAGTAGACTCGATTCAAACTAAAGATAAACGGATCCATTATGCAGGATGACTGCAGAAGTATGGCTACATGTCTAACATCATCCTATTCTCTTGACACAGAAAACCTCAATGTTTCAGTAGGGAGGTGAAGAGTTCAAGGAGGCGTTTTCAGTATTGATCACCAGTATGCAATAAGCTTGATCAGAACGATTGTTAGTCGGTTATCTTACTTCGGTTGCCTGAAGAGAAGAGATGCAAGGCTCCCACTCCATCCAAATGCAACAGATGTCATCGGCTCACGTCTTTTAGGGGTGAGAGAAGGCAGGCTGTGATTAGAGGTGGTGATCACTTTGGTGGTACTGGTAGTAGACTCCGTAGACCTGACACGAAGATGGTGAAAGATGGTGTTAATAAGTGTGACTAACATCAAGTGTCGTTGTGCCGAACACTATTAGCACAGACATTGCACAGAAAGACAGGGCAACGAAAGCATGGTTATTCAGTTCACATCGGCTTAAGTAACATCAAAACCCCCTATATTGAAAACTCTGATCCGGTCAAAGTCACTTGATAGTGTGTTATCTGTCGAGCAAAGTTCTGGTAAAACAGAAACCGGACTTCAAGAGAAACTGCCTGCAACTTGCATTGCTTGGTTCTCCATAAACTAAACAACTTCAAGATTTTAAGTGCCTTAAGGGAAGTATGCGCGAAGTTTGAAAATTGAAACCTTCTATCTCATCATGTCAGCGCCATGACACCTATCCTCCATTACTGTTTATTCAAATGCTCAATGGCGTTGATGCTAAGCTAACAACCCTCGTTGTTCAGAACAAAAGACATGGCGCACAAACTAACAGACGGTTCTGGACCGAATCAGCTCCTTATCTGCAACATAACTGCTTCTATATGTACAATTGTACATAGCATCTAATCTCCTAGTCCTATGCATGAAAAGCGTTATGCAATCAGTTCGACTATATCCAGCATCAATAGTATTGTATCCACTGAAATGAAACTGACTTCTCATAATTTCTAACAGGGAAAATTCAACCGTTAATAAGAGCCAGGGAAAGGAGATTTACGCACAAAAGTCCTTCATGGGCAAACGTGGCCAGGCCTTGTCGCTGCTTGTGCTTAGGATTGGAGCTGCAAAGCACATAGACTCGACCACGCCGCTTAACTACTTGGCAGAACTCGCACATCTTCTTCACTGATGATCTAACCTTCATGGCAACTGAAAAAAAGAATAAACACCAAATAAATTCCAATTTCCCCAATCAGAAACGGACCCTAAACTAGCAACGATTCAATTCAGCGAACCCATAACTCAAAATGTTGCAAAGTCTGGATCTTGGAATATGAACCGAGTTCAAACGAGCTACAAAAGGGCGAAATTTGCACAGAGAATCGAGAGCGATAACGAACCGGTTTTCGAATGATACGCAGGACGGCGATGAGAGATGATCTTGAAAGGTGAACAGATTCCGCCGGCGAAGGACTGGGATAGGGAGACGAGGTCGATCAGAAGCTCAGCCGACGAGGAAGCTGGTAGGTTTTCCAGTGCTGGCCAGACCTGAAACTCGCACGAGCTAGAACGATGACCAAAAGCTAGCCCAATATCATCTTCCACATAACTGGACTACGAAATGGATTCGTGAGGCCCAACGTCAACAAAGCCCAGCGTAATGGACTCGGAACCGGGCTCTATCTTTGTCTTATTATTTTTTTTTTTTTACAAAAAATAATCATATATTGATTCAAAAAATAGGCAGTTACACCATGGAAGACAGCCAGGTCTGAAAATCAAAAGAACGACTCAGGGCCGGGTACAAAAAAAAGGGCTTTTCTAGCCACCAAATGGGCTACCCTATTACTACGCCGACCTACAAACCGAATGCTAAACCTAGGCAGGACATGGAGCCAATTAGCAATTTCTTCAAGAACAACACCCATCTTGTTATCTCCATGATCCCCCCGATTGAGTTTGTCAATAATGACCTTGGCGTCGCCTTCAAAACGAACATCAGTAAGGCCCAATCCCTGACACCAAAGCATAGCCTCCCGAAGCACCAACAGTTCCACAACCATCGGATCATCAATACCCACAATTTGCACACCCGTGGCCATACTAATCACCCATGTAGGAGATAGAAGAACCATTCCTCCCGCCGAATGGGACCCTCTCCTAATGGCCCCATCCCATCTATAGACCATACGCTGATCACCCCCCTCCTCCAGCGAACCAGAGTTAGGGGAAGGAGCCTGAGCGATGGAGTAGGCAGGCAACCGAACCCATTCCTCATACTGCTGGATAAACTGACGCATCAACACTGGGATCCCAAACTGTTTCCCTTCAAACACCACCCAGTTACGAGAGCGCCAGATCCGCCAGAGGATGGCAATCACCGCCATGAACAAAGTAGGTTGATTGATTAAGCCCAAAAGTTTTTTTTATTGTCTTATCTTCTCTAGCCCTTTTTTATTTTTTATTTTTTCACCATTCAGTCACATCACAAAAATCGTCTACTACCAGTTAAGATGATGCGGTAAAGTATATACAAGAAACTAGATTAGGGCCCGGCCTCTTGGCCGGAGAGTTTGGTTTTCATGTGTATGTGTAGTAAACATTGAGGTATATTTTTTTTATGGTTCAAGTTGTTGGGGGTTGAAGTAACTATTTAATTTGGTAAGTTCTCCATAAATAATATAGGAAAGTATTTAATGTATTTGACTAATGAAGTTTAGAAAATGACAAACAACGTCCAACTACACTAACATAAATATATATTTGCAAACAAAGTCATATCTATTTAAAAATGTCTGAGAAGAACAATGATAAGAGTTGTTTTACATCAGACATACATAATCAATCTTCAGTATACGATAAATTTTTTGCCTTTTCCATTAACTTTTGTGTATTCAATGATATAATGAATCAAAGTATATGTTTATAGTGTCCTTAAAAAGAAACAAACTAACTGACACAGTCATGGTTCCATTGACTTTAGTGTATTCAATGATATAATGAAACAAAGCATGCAGATGTCCAGCTGGCAAGTTCAAATAATAGAGCAACACATAAAAAGCTAAATCAAAGCGAAAAGAAGGCAAAAACTAAAAGCAACATCCCTAACATTTTGGGGGAAATCCACAACAATAAAAGTCATTGTATGAACACTTGATAATGATTTGAACACTTGTGATATATGAGTAGTGAAAGTTAATAAAAGTCATTGTAGCTCTTACTCAAGTTAAAAACACTTTGATTTAATGGTAAGTAAACAATGATATGTAGTGCTTAAGAGGGAAGATGAGACCTTGCATTATTGTTTATTAATATGCATCTTAGTTTCATAAATTTTACATCATTAAAAATTTATGTGCTAAATAGAAACCCATCCGAGTTTGGAGCCATTGTAAAATGTAAGTTATGAGGCAAATGAAAAGTCTCAAGCATCCACATGCTTGAAAAATAAATCTATATTATCAAACATAGAATCATATCTTGCATAAGAAAAAAGAACAAAAAAAGTAGTAATTCGGTAATCAAATAGGAATCAATATGGACACAATATCTAACCAAGAGAAGAGGAAGCGGAAAAACATAAATTGTTAGGGGTGGCAGTTCGGTTATTTCGGTGATAACCGATAACCGATCGGCCAGTTATCGGTTAACCGAAATAACCACTCCCCTTACCTAAAACCGATCGAAATAGGCTTCGGTTTCTCGGTTATCGGTTAATCGAATCACTTTTAAGACCAAAAACCATTTCGTCCAGCCTTCGATAACCGACCGAAGTTCGGTTACTTCGGTTACCGGTTATCGATTTAACTGGCTGGTTAACCGGTAACCGAATTGCCACCCCTATAAATTGTTGTGTTTAGATTCCGCTTACGATATTTCAAAGTGAAAAATATCATAAAAATTATTAACCAATAAAAGGGAACGGTAAAGGAAAAAAATGCATCAATTTGAATCTAATATGAGAGGAATTAATATCCTACACTATCATATATAATGATATATTACATCCCATAACATCATCAAAAAATCTATCTTAATGAAAAAGTATACTAAATTGAATCCAATGTAAAAGTAACAATGAAGATAGATATTATATCCACCTAAAGAATAATAAAGTAAGCCATGTTTCTTAGAGACCTCTCTCGATAGAACCACTCTATTATAAACCCCATTTCGTCAAACAATTGCACCATATAGAGTTTTAACTTAAATTTGAAGTGCTTTAATTAGCTATTTCAACTCATGAATGAATTAATTATATCATTTGGTAAAAGAAAATAATTTATAAACTTGAGAGTTATTTCGTTTGTTGTTAAATCATTTGAACTAAAGTATGAAAGTGCTTCAGAACCATTATTTTATTCATTATTATTAAAATTGCTATTTTTATTATAATGTCTAAGCATGTCTCGGCGAGATAGGAGATAGACAAACGCCCAATGACCGCCGTACGCCTAACGTGTTGCTGAACCTCAATAATTATAGCAACCTTTGAGTGCATCTTATAAGTTTGATCACTTCTATTTTGGTATAATTGATTACATCATGAAAGCGATCAATCAAAGAGTCTTTCTTTAAGATTTTGATAAGATGTCCGCTACTGCACAATTAGTATGGCTAAATTGTAATAAGATAGTCATGTATTCAATTTGGAATCGATAGCGCAAAAGATTGTACTAACTCAGGTAGAGTTTTAGCTAATCATTACTTCATTTTCGCATGTAGATAGCTCTTTCGAAGAGTTCGAATATTGATTGAGTTTGTTGAACTTTACCTAACGAAACTATGATATCAATCGCAAAATATTATGCTTTTTGGAGAAATCGGGAGAATATGTTGGTGATTTCAAACCTAACATGGATAGCATTAAATTTAAGTGATAAGCAACATTTATGTTTAATAGATTAGACATGAAAAATATATTTAGCATTCCCATAAGTTGGTATGAAGAAGTGAATAATTAAGAATTGAAAGTTAGAAACAAAGTTGATTTAATAAATAACTGCAAATGATATTGTGAAAAAGAAAACAAATGCTTAGAGCATAACTAGGCATGAGGGTGTTACATTAAACTCTCTAAGAGAAAGCAAATAACCATTAATAGTTTGTTGTGGATATTGAAATAGTTAACTATGATGAATACTATATACTAGTGATTAATACTTGGACCTTAGCTTGAACATTGCATCATGCTGATAAAAATTATTTCATTAATTACATTATTTAAATAAGGGGTCGTATGGAAGTTTTGATTGTTTTTTTAGATTGTTAAAATAAATACATTTTTCATAAGACAATACATATGTTTTTATTTTTGTTCATAAACAATCGTGAATTATTTGCTTGATTTGACTAAACTATCATTCAAATTGAATGATTAAACAATTTCGAATTTTAGCATAGACTGTCGAGATAATTGGTATAGGTGTTTGTCATGAATATATTTCTTGAAATGTATGGTACCAGTGTTCTTATGTCGTCATTGAAAACTTCAATTCAATACGCAATATTCAAACCAATGATATTTGTGTTCATTTATAAGTTCGTTGATAAGTTAGAAAAAATTCTAAATTAATTATTAAAATATAAAAATAGAAGTATCAAACACCACAAAATACTTATAGTAGACTTAGCGGGCTAACTAACCGTGATAGAAAATTACTTTGTTTTTCATAATTTTAACTTTCTCTATGTTTTGTATGAATAAAGTACAACAAATGTGTATAGTCTAATTGGTTACTATTCTTGTCTTTGGTGGAAGAGACCGTGGTTCAAATCCTAGCATTGATATCTTTTTATATGGAAAAAAAATTTGATTGTGTAGATGAAAATACCCTTCATACTTTCACTCTCATTGCAGGAAATTTGAAATGGAGCAAATCAAACTCTTTAAAATGTATTATAAGTAGTGTAGAAGTATGTACCAGCTAGTAGGGGTGTACATGGGTCGGGTGGTTCGGGTTAAGTCATTTTAATCACCTGGCCTATACACTACGGTTTGAAAAAAATTAAACCTAAACCCAGCCAAAAAAAATTAAACCCTACGGTTTGTTTCTAATTGGGTTGGGTTGGGTTGGGTTGGCGATATTTTTAAGTAAAAACCCAACCCAACACAAAATATGTAATTATTCTACACCATAAAAATATTTTATAACTAATTAAAATTTCAAACAAATAAATCGAGGTGAAAGGTATCGAAATTCATAAATGTTGTTTGAATTTTAATAAAATGTGATTTACTTCAACATATGTGTAGCTTTTTGCACGACATTTGTTGAAATATGTTAAAAAGGTTATAAACGAATGCATTCATAATATGTTATCTATTAAAATTATACACAAGAAAAAGGATTACGTGAATCATAACTATATTAAATTTATGTATAAACTTTAAGCCGAAGAATGTCATAGATTAGGGAGACCATGAGAGAAAAACATAACAAAATATATTAATTTTATCATAAGCATGATTATATACGACATAGATATTTGATGGATACGAACTCATACCAATAGTTGGAACACGGGTTGGGTTGGGTTCTACGGTTTGTGTAATCCAAAGTCAAAACCCAACCCAAAAGAGGCGGGTTGTTCAAAAGAAAACCCTCACCAACCCAAAACCTTCGTTTTAGCGATAAATACGGATGAGTCGGGTCGGGATGGACGGGTGGGTCGGTTTACGGGTGTATTTGTTCACCCTTACCAGCTAGTATTACATGGTGAAAATGGTATAACGATCAGGGTTTTAGATTGTGATCATTAATATTTTGGTATATTATCTTACTTTAATATTAATTCAGTATCGATGTTTTATTGGTATGTTATCGGTTAAACCATGATTATACCATCAAATAATAACCCATCTAACTAGTTTGATACAATCTTAAATACAGGTTTACAAAATCATAAATTTTTACTTAAAGAATTCAAATTGCATTTTTTCTTATTACCATCTAACTTGTGCATCAAAAAGTCAATACAAAACCCTTACTGACTCTGTCAGCGGTACTACAATGGACGAGGAGCAGATTGACGACACGATGCTACTTGTCTGTGCAGATTGATGTTGGAGACTATGATCAAAATTAAATCTCATACCCCCATAAGGGTGAAGATTAGTCGAAATATTAAAACATTAGATTCACTTCAAATTTGAATTTTACCCTCTCATTAAAGTCTTTTAAATTCACTCGTTTAATATTTAATCCTATGGTGAACTATGATGACATCGAATGATCGAATAGGAGTTTTGGTAGGTAGGGAGTTTACTTTCCTTTTTTTTCTCCATGGATGATTTACTTTTGTATTACAGACTAAATATACTACTTTAGTACTTTTCTTCGTAGTTAATTTTGTCTATAATTAATCACTAATTATGCAATTGTGTGACGACTGCTAGACTTATGATTGATTAGATTAAACCTTGCTGGCGAATTAGAAACCAAAGCGTAAGACTTTGCCAACCTTAATCGAAGGCGGTTAATACTAAACTATATGATTAATTATGTAAAGAAGTGGTAGCTAGTAGCTACACATAGTTGACACTTGTTACCAAAGGATTCACACCTAAGCAAACCCTTATTCGCTACCCCACAAATCAAGTACAAGTTGTAGTAGTAGTAGGTATTGAAAAAATTAACACCAACTTGCTTATTTGATGAAATTTCTGATTAGTTTCAACATTAATATTGATCATTCAATTCATCACAAGTATCACCTAATTAAGATTTATAGTCCTCTGTGTTGTTCCTCAATCGTTGTATTCGACCTGTGGGTTTGAGATGTGATATGTACATCTTAATCCTATTCTTTTGGAATACGTAGAATAAGTTCAACTGGCGCAACCTTTATTAAACTATCAGGTGAGAGACGATACACTTGATTAGAAAATAAATCGAGTGAGAAACGCTAACTATTATGCATCCAAATGAACTATTAAGGGTATGAGTTAAATCTCAATCTTCCATACATTAATCATCAAGACATTTTCATGCATTATTATTAAGAACCAACACCTCACGATAACATACTCCATAAACAAGAACCCAAAACGAAAATTTGCAAGAGATATGGGGAACATGTTTTAGGCTGAAAGCTACAGAAAAGAAACCCCAAAACGTCATTTATCAAATCTAGAGCTACTTGATTGGGTAATTAGTACTTTAACCCCAATTAACGTCACTCATCCTTATCTTCTTCACGACACTTAGAAAAAGTGTTCATCAATTACAAGACAAAATTACACACATAAGCCACAGCTTTGTCACCGAGCATATGAAGGTTAATTAAATAATGTCAACACGAAATACGATCTCTTCCGATATTTAACAAACGGCTTAATTGCAAGTTTGGTCACTCGAATTGCTACAAAATTTCATGTTTGCCACTCAAATTGATTTATTCTATTTATAGTCACTTAAATTAGTTGAACAGTCCAAGTTCGGTCACTCTCCGTTAACCTCCGTTAGACTCCGTTAATGACGACCGTTAAGTGATGACGTGGCTAACAGAAAATCACAGTCAGCATATTTTAACACTAAAAAACGACGACCCGCCACGTCATATTTACCCGCCATGTCAGCCCTACTTGCCCAACCCGCGAACCAACCCAATAATTGACCCAACCCAAACCCGAGACCTGACCCCCTGAATCTAGATTCTTGGCTCTGTACTATTCGCCTCGCAAAGAAGAAAGGGGAGAGATCCAGGGATCACTCATAACCAAGCATATGCTAATGTTAAGCCATGAAGCAAGCTCTCTGCATAGAGCTCCAGCAGTGTATTCTTTGAAGGCACAGCGAGTGCGAGCTGGGTCGAGAGAGAAGTTTCACAAACATTCCTTCAGGTTTGCATGTGCAATTTCAAGTATTTGATTTTCTCTATCTTTGATTTTCCATCTTTGGAACCCTTGTTTGACTTTTAGGGGGATTGCCATGGATCCTTTCCTTCAGGAATTTGGTACTTAGAAAATCACTGCTACTGAACAATGTGGTGGTCGGGATGGTGGTGGACTCTTGTGTTATCGACGGCGGCAGCTGTGCTGCTTCCGTTAATCGTCTTCTCCAGGTTTCTGTTCCTTGAGAGGAGGGAGTCTGGAATTGGGAGCTCAAATGTCTCTTCACAATCTGCGCCAACCACACCAGTCAAAGCTTCCGGTTCCGAGCTTAGTCCCGAATATGCCTCACTGCCTCTTCCCGCTGGAGTGTACGAGGTGTTCGTGAGCTGTACAAGTCCTGAAATTCAGAACCATTTCGGCGATTTCCTCTACAACTACCTGGCTCGTTCGAAAATTCGGACGTTTGGAAACGAGGAGCAGCTTCCCAAAGGCCAGACCCAAGAATCTAGATTTAGGGGGTCAGGTCTAGGGTTTAGGGTTGGGTCAATTATTGGGTTGGTTCGCGGGTTGGGCATGTAGGGCTGACATGGCGGGTAAATATGACGTGGCGGGTCGGTTCGTCGCTTTTTAGTGTTAAAATATGATGACTGTAATTTTCTGTTAGCCACGTCATCACTCAACGGTTGTAATTAACGGAGTCTAACAGAGGTTAACGGAGAGTGACCGAACTTGGAATGTTCAACTAATTTAAGTGACTATAAATAGAATAAATCAATTTGAGTGACAAACGTGAAATTTTGTAGTAATTCGAGTGACCAAACTTGCAATTAAGCCAGCCTTTAACAAACCTATGGAACCACAACATATGATAATTATTTGGGTTAAACTAATGAATCAATGGGTGTCGTCATATGATTGCTCTATGTATGTGGAAATGAAGTGCTCTTTTTCATTCAATAATACTATATTTAAGCAGTGGAGCCAACAAAAAAGATGATGAGGTAATTATATGTGGCTAGGTGTGGGGAGCAAGACATTTCATTGGAGGTGACTTTGGCTTATTATATGGTTTGTTTTGTTGAACTTTCTTTGGTTGGGAGCAAGTGAAAGCAAAAGGGTTTTTGCTCTTTTATTGAAACCCTATATGGAGAAGGGTCATCCTTGGCCAAGTTGGAAAGTCATAGAAAGAACTTCAGAGGACTTGTAGTCCTTTGGTTTTAATGGGTTAATAAACTTGCTCCCCTAGTTACAAAGATTTTAGCAAATAAGCCCTTGCATTACGATTTATAATACTTTTTATGTTTGCGCGTAATAAGAAAACTCGACATGAAATAAAATAAACTCAAAGAGAACTCAATTCGAACAAATCACATGTTGTGCACACGAAATATGGTCATGGGAGTAAAACCTTCAAACCTTTCAACTCGATCATTCAAATTTTTGCAAATCAGAAGCTCAACAAGTAAATCAAGATCACGAGACAACATCGATTGAGAAGGTGTATATTTTTCTTATCGATAATCCGAGAAACAATAGGGTGTTATGGATGCAGTAATGCTATATTTTTTTTTTATTATCTCTTTGTCCTGGTCTCTGGTGACTTTCGTTTTTATGGATTGAGATTAAGTCAACATGCCCAAATTTACACCTGATTAGGAACTACATAAACTATGTTGGAGGGAGTAATTTGAAAACAAATACAATGTTTTTTTTGTATGTTCGATTGAAATCGTTGATATATGAATGTGTTTGTTCAACTAGCATAATACAAGGACTACAAATGTCATTAATTTCTTTTAATTAACTAAGGTAGGATTACAACTCTTTTGCTTTTGTACTAGTGTTAGGAAAAGAAACCCCCCTTTAGTTGGTGAGGTCATGACTAAGGGAGAGAGAGGTTGATTAAATTAGTTAAAGCACAGGGTTAAACTATAAGATTTGCATAGGTCATGTTTCCTTCACTTGATAATTTTTAGATTAGTCATTAGTGTATCATTTAACCTTTAATTATTTAAAATTATGAATTGGTGGATGCAAGTGTCATTCTCCACCATTTCACCACATGCCATCTATTTCACCCAACCATCGTAAAATTTCACCTGATTAAGACTTGGTTCACTCAATTAAATACCAAAATATTGAGAAATAAAAAAAAGTAAAAAATTAATTAAATATAACACATATACTTTAGTCTTCATTACTCGATCTTTGACAATTCACGAACCCTCTATCTAACTCAACTTTAGCTTTCCAATTTAAGTCATTCTCGTCTCTCACTCAATCTCCTTGTTATTTTCACAACATAAAAAAACACATTCTCATTAGTCGTCTCTCAACCTCCAATCCATCGAATTAAATATTACCAATGACAAGAAATTGAGATATCAACATCTCCCCCTTCTCCTTAACCATGTTTTAGCGCTAGACGAACTCAAAACCATTTGCTTAGTCTCATGAGAACCTATAATAATAAGTTTAATGGAGACTTGATTTGATCCAATTAATGACTGACTTCTATTAGTTTTTATTAGAGTTTTCTCACATCAAATTATCATCAACATTATTTAATTATATATATTTGATTTTTTATTTGCAAAGTTAATCAATTAATGTCGTACTCGAGAATATCGATTGGGATACCAAAATATTTTGAGACAAAAATTGCGATTCTATTATGTAAATATTTATATTTGGATGACCAATGGCCTACCACATTAGATGTTCACTTGGGAGTTACATGTAACTCCCATTCTTATATTATTATCTCTAATTCATATGCATTGATGTAAGGATGTAATGGTTATCAAAGGGTGCCTATAAATAGAGCACACTATTGTATCACAAATGGAGAATGAATAAGAAGAACTATTCCTCTCACTTCTCTTGTGTCTTTCCTCCTCCAATCTTCTCTTGTAGTTGCTTACATTTTCATTAGTTTTATAACACGTTATCAGCACGAGACTCTTCCTTTTGAAAAGGTTAAATCCATAATTGTTCTGCTCAAGGTATGTCGATTCTCCCAAATTGCTTCTTTTATTGTCCTATTTCAATTTACATAATTTCCTTTATTAATCAACACATGAAATCTTTGTTTGAGAATGCAAAGGTATAATTTCCTTCTTAATATTTTTTTTATTTTGAAATTCGAATTTATTTATATATTTGTAAAAATATCAAATTGATATATCATGGGTCACATAAGTCGTTTGTCTTGATAGTAATCTATATTTATTTATTGAATATTGACTTTAATTTGTGTATATTTTTATGATAGTATGTCGAATCTTTCAAAACTTGAGTTTGTGGCTCTTGATGTCACTGGAAAGAATTACCTGTCATGGGTGCTAGATGCTGAAATTCATTTAGCTGCCAACGGTCTTGGAGACACGATTAAAGAGGGCAATGAAGCATCAGATCAAGACAAAGCTAAAGCAATGATCTTTCTTCGACATCACCTCCACGAGGGATTGAAGAATGAGTATCTTACGGTCAAAGATCCACTTATTTTGTGGACTAATTTGAAGGAGCGGTATGACCACCAAAAAACTGTGATTCTTCCTAAGGCTCGTTATGATTGGATGCATTTGAGGTTACAAGATTTTAAATCTGTGAGTGATTATAATTCGGAGCTATTCAAAATAACCTCACAACTACTGTTATGTGGAGAAAATATTACTGATGAAGATATGTTGGAAAAAACATTCTCCACTTTTCATGCATCCATGTGCTCCTACAGCAGCAATACCGTGAGAAAGGTTTCAAGAAATATTCTGAGCTGATTTCTTGTCTCCTTGTTGCTGAACAAAATAATGAGCTCCTAATGAAAAATCACCAATCTCGTCCTACTGGTGCCGCCCCATTCCCAAAAGCAAATGCGGCAGCGTTCACCCAATATCCTTATGGGCAAATACATGGACGAGGACGTGGGCGTGGTCATGCTCATGCTCGAGGCCGTGGCCGTGGCCGAGATCTTGGCCGTGGTAATGGCCGTGGTGAAAGTTCCAAAAGCTCATTTTTCCCCAGAAGTGGAAAAAATGATGGTAGAAGAAGCAAGGAACAAAGTGTTTATGGTAACAAACACGTCGAAAATGTGTGTTACCGTTGTGGTGGAAAAGGTCATTGGTCTCGTACCTGTCGTACGCCAAAACACTTTGGTAACCACTACACCAAAATATTTGGTCATGAACCTAATATTTCCCATCTAAAAATATTTGGATGTGCCGTATACATCCCTATTGCTCCACCACAGCGTGTTAAGATGGGTCCTCAAAGGAGGTTGGGAATTTATGTTGGATATGAGTCTCCGTCAATCATAAAATACTTAGAACCCTTGACGGGAGATTTATTCACTGCTCGTTTTGCTGATTGTCATTTTGACGAATCAGTTTTTCCAACATTAGGGGGTGAGAACAAACAGCTGGGAAAAGATATTTGTTGGAATGAATTATCATTATCTCACCTTGATCCTCGTACTAGACAATGTGAACTAGAAGTTCAAAAGATAATTCATTTACAAGGTTTAGCAAACCAACTGCCAGATTCGTTTACTGACCAGAAAAGAGTGACAAAGTCACACATACCAGCTGTAAATGCTCCAGTGAAAGTTGATGTCCCTGTTGGACAATCTGAAATTGCTAATGAATCTAAACCACGAATGAAGAGTGGTAGACCAGTAGGTTCCAAGGATAAAAATCCTCGAAAAAGAAAAGGAGCTATGAATCAAGTTGATCAAATCGAGGATATGAAAGCTCAAGAAGAGTCCCCCAAGCATAACTAAGATTGTAGTTCCCGAAGAACATCAAGTACCTGAAAGTTTTGATAATGAAGAGATCTCAATCAATTATGTCTTGGATGGAAAATGTTGGAACCGAAGTAAAATAATCGTCGACGATGTTTTTGCTTACGCTGCAGCGTTGAGTGTGATGACTGAAAATGAGGATCATGAACCAAGATCTATTGATGAATGCAAGTCAAGAGATGATTGGCCAAAGTGGAAAGAGGCCATTGAGGAAGAATTAAACTCGCTTTCAAAGCGAAAGGTTTTTGGACCGGTAGTCCTTACACCAGAAAACGTGAAGCCAGTGGGATACAAATGGGTTTTTGTGCGGAAAAGAAATGAAAAGGGTCAAGTAGTGAGATATAAAGCACGTCTTGTCGCACAAGGATTCTCACAGAGACCTGACATTGATTATGAGGAGACATACTCCCCTGTGGTGGATGCAACTACGTTTCGATACTTGATTAGTCTAGCAGTTCGAGAAGGACTAGATCTGCGTCTAATGGATGTTGTGACAGCCTATTTGTATGGATCACTTGAGAATGATATATATATATGAAACTCACTGAAGGATTCACTTTGCCAGAAGCAAACAAAATACATTCTCGAGAAAATTTTTCTATCAAATTGAACAAATCCTTGTATGGATTGAAACAATCTGGACAAATGTGGTACAATCGTCTCAGTGAATATTTGATGAAAGAAGGATACAAGAGTGACCCTATTTGTCCATGTGTTTTTCTAAAGAGATCGGGTAGTGAGTTTGTTATAATATCAGTTTATGTTGATGACATAAACATCATTGGAACTCCCGAAGAGCTTCCAAAAGCAGTTGATTGCTTGAAGAAAGAGTTTGAAATGAAAGATTTAGGAAGAACAAAGTTTTGTCTTGGATTACATATTGAACATTTGAAGGATGGTATTTTTGTGCATCAAGAAGGATATGTTGAAAAAGTGCTTAAGTGATTTTATATGGACAAATCACACCCGTTGAGTAATCCAATGGTTGTAAGATCACTCGATGTGAAAAGAGATCCATTTAGACCTCGAGAAAGTGATGAAGATCTGCTTGGCCTTGAAGTGCCATATCTTAGTCCAATAGGAGCATTAATGTATCTAGCCAGTCACACACGACCCGATATATCGTTTGCTGTGAATATATTGGCAAGATATAGCTCTTCTCCCACTAAAAGACATTGGAATAGAGTTAAACATTTACTCCGTTACCTTCGAGGAACTACGGATATGGGCTTGTTCTATTCGAGTGCATCGAAGATGGATTTAGTGGGATATGCAGATGCAGGATATCTCTCAGATCCCCACAATGGTAGATCTCAGACGGGATATTTGTTCACTTGTGGTGGTACAGCTATTTCGTGGCGATCCACAAAACAAACTATAACAGCCACATCATCCAATCATGCTGAAATCCTAGCAATTCACGAGGCAAGTCCTGAATGTGTTTGGTTAAGATCTATAATTCGACACATCAGAGAATCGTGTGGACTATCTCTAGGAAAAATGATCCCGACGATCATGTATGAAGATAATGCAGCATGCATTGCTCAATTAAAGGAAGGATATATTAAAGGAGATAGAACAAAACATATTCCACCCAAGTTCTTTTTCACTCATGATCTTCAAAAGAGTGGTGAAATAATTGTTCAAAAAGTTCGTTCAAGTGAGAATCTAGCAGATTTATTCACCAAGTCACTCCAGACGACAATCTTTGTAAAGCTTGTTCGTGAAATTGGAGTTCGACGACTCAAAGACTTGAGCTGATGTGGTCATGAGGGGGAGCATATACGCGCTGCACTCTTTTTCCCTTAACCATGGTTTTTCCCACTGGTTTTTCCTGGTAAGGTTTTTAATGAGGCAGCATGAGATAGCGTAATAATGCAATCTAGTGGTCATCCAAGGGGGAGTATTATGTAAATATTTATATATGGATGACCAATGGCCTACCACATTAGATGTTCACTTGTAACTCCCATTCCTATATTATTATCTCTAATTCATATGCATTTATGTAAGGGTTACCAAAGGGTGCCTATAAATAGAGCATACTATTGTATCACAAATGGAGTATGAATAAGAAGAACTATTCCCCTCACTTCTCTTGTGTCTTTCCCTCTCTAATATTCTCTTGTAGTTGTTTACATTTTCAATTAGTTTTATAACAAAACTAATGGAAATGTAAGCAACTACAAGAGAAGATTGGAGGAGGAAAGACACAAGATAAGAAATGGAGAATGAATAAGAAGAACTATTCCCCTCACTTCTCTTGTGTCTTTCCCTCTCTAATATTCTCTGGGAGTTCAGGGCAGGCGTTGATTTTAGTGTGTTATTCAATATTCGAGATTTTAGTATTTCATACTGAAATACCAATATTGTACTAATTCTCACGCCTGCCCTGAACTCCCAATCATCTTATGCTTATTCAATCCTAAATCCGATCGACCTGCCGAGTAATTAACACATCCTGATCCATATGACAAAGTTGATCACATCCATAGACTTTGACGGCATGTTTGGCAACATGGATTACCTACAACATAAATTTCGAATCTCAATACGACACATTAACCGGAAAAAGGTAAGGTTGGTCATTTGGACACCAATCAACTGTAATTAATCACCAATTAGCATATACTAATTAAGCAAGACACATCGTCATCACTTGTTAAAGAATCGTGTACGGCTAAGAAGTC